TACGATAGGAAAAGATGAAAATACAGAGAAGGAGAGTTGACATGATACCAAGGCAACCAAGAGTGAGATTAAGAAGCGAGAATGAAGATCGAGGAGAGGAAGTAAAAGTGAGGGGTAAGAGAGACAGAGAGATAGGCAAAATGCAAGGATAGAGGGAAAGAGAGAGAGAGAGAGAGAGAGAGAGAGAAAGAGAGGGAGAGAGAGAGAGAGAGAGAGTGAGAGAAAGAGAGTGAGTCTTCATTTTTGTCTGGTCCAAGTTCTCTAGAAGTTTATTTACATTTTCACAAATAGTATATTTTGTTGAGATGGTAAAGATAGGACTGTTTATGACGCCTGTAACATTATTAGTCTCTCTTTTAAAGGGGTCCAGTAACTTTGTCTCAGATTCTGAAACAAAATTCTGGATTAAGCTCATGCTGCAATGATAATTATAAACCTTTAGGTCAGTCAGGAACCCCATGACTTTTACAAGCCGATCGCCTGTCTGATTATCAAGGTATTTATGATTGGAATTACAAATTTTGAAACACTACAGTCTATTGGGGAAAACGAGTATGGTAAAACCGGTCACTCAAAGATTTTTACTTTTTTTAGCACTTCTTGTTCATTTTGAAGCGCAATTTTTTTTAGGGCTTCAATATTACACCATATCAAAGACACTGATAACAAGTAGGGCCGTGTATCTCAGATTTAACATCGTTAAACGATTTGATAGACCATTAAGCCACTATTATTCCTGCAGTGCACTGCATAATAGGAGAACGAAAAAGATCCATCGAATACATCTGTTTCTAATGATAAAACAAGGTCTTCCCTTGTCCTGCTTTTAATCACTAACTGTATTCACATGCCCTAAACCATTACCCCGGTTATTCGCTAATAGACCTCCAAAACGAATTAGTTTCCATCGATCTTGAGTAGCCTGTTGTCTACATGGCAACACATCCTACATTCAATATTAGGCACATTAACAATCTCCAGCTGTTATACGGTGCATATCACAACAGACCGATTGTAATAGATGTGTATAGGTGAATAGAAGGCTGGACAAAATATGTCCATCAATCTTTTCATTGTAAAAGGATTTAAACTAAAAAAATATTATTGGAATTTCACCATCTGCAACACGTAAAATAGTCATATGTTTTTGTTTGAACTTAATGGTTTCTATAAATGTATTTTGAACTGAATTTTATGTACTGGTTTATTGTATTTAGCATCGTGGACTATGCGATCATGACAATGTTTTTTTAAAGTGTATGTAATGTGACTACACAGAACAGCCTCTGAAAGGGAGGGAGGGGGAGAGAGAGAGAGAGAGAGAGTGAGAGGGAGAGAGAGAGAGAGAAACAATATCATGTAAAAACTGTTCTTATTGGCTTTTAACACCACAGCACCTGACAAGTCGAAGGTATATCTATATATGTTATATTTATATGCTGTTATTATATGGTAGAAGACCAGCTGCTGCGGGGGAAATACAGATGCAGTATTGAGTCACAAGGGACCAATTTTTAGAAATCAATATCGATGTTTACACATAATCTGTAGAAAACATGTTCTTGATATGGAACGCAATCACAGGAGGGAATCTAAATTTGTAAAGGTAATAAGTAATCGAAGCATTGCATTCACACAAAAATAATAACTACTGGCTTAACACGATAGATGTTTTCACCCTTCTGATATTTAACGATTCTTTTCAGTGGTGTATCAATTTAGAGGAGGGCACAATGGCACTTGCACCTCCGTAGAGTGACACAAGAGAGAGAGGGAGAGAGAAAGAAAGAGAGAAAGAGAGAGAGAGAGATAGGGAGAGGGAGAGAGAAAGAGGGAGAGAGGGGGATATATAGAAAGGGGGTAGGGGCGGAGGGGCATAACAAATGGGTACCCTTTAGCATGGATCCCTTTCCTGGACAGTTGTTCCGCTATTTCGCATTTCGTCCACAAATTATGATCCCCTCCCAAAATGACCTTTGCGGCATTCAATTCAATTCGAATTTATTGGTCCAAAAGGAAATTCGTTGCTTTTACATGCATTATTCACGGAATAAATAGAAGTAAAATGAACGTGCGACATGATACATACAACATAGATCGAGTATAGAGAGAATAAATATATCTAGCATTCACATTTATATTTTCTCTAAATTTACGTTATATTCAATGTTTGTTCATACATCTAGCCTTCTTTCGTTCGAAGAGTGACTTTATTTGGAACACATAGTGCAAAGGGTTAACTTCTATATTGAATTTCTATAGTAAATTTATTGTCGATAAAACTTAAAATTTCAAAATATAATTATCGATGTAATACTTATCAGGTCATTTCTGTATTAAAGCTTGTATAGAGTAAGTGCTGTATATTCATAGGCTAATTTGAGTGAAGAGATGACAAGGTAGAAAAACTGCTTTTTACATTTGACCCTCTTTTATAGTCTACCTGTTTACGATACGACGTTTTATTTTCTCTTTGATATCATTAATCAATGCTCACCTAAATATCCATGACAGCTATTGCTCTACAAAAACCAAATAAGCCTACATCAAATCAGTTATTCTGTAGTTTCAGTTTTTAACTGAAAGTGTTTCCGTTATTACTACAGACTGACTCACCAAACCTTATAAGGTAATCTTTCTGTAGGAGGCGTATTCAATCATGTAGACGAACAATAGAGAATAATTTATGTGTGTCTATTTCTATTAAATAAACATAGTTGCGGTCACATCTTTTTCATAACAAACATTAGACTTCAAAGGTTAACCTGTATGTATGAAGTAGAATGGTGAATTTAACATAATCCATTTTTTGTTTGGCTATTTTTCTTATATAATTTGTTTTTGCATTTAGTTGTATCTTGTAGCAAACTTTCTTTTAAGTAAAGATCAAGGAAAAAAATTAAAACTGTCCCACCGTCTTCATGCATCCAAAATCCTAAACATATGATTTTTCCCCATTGATTTAAATCACTTACTTTTTTTGCTTTTTAATTTTCGAATTCCATAAAATTCCATGAAATATCACTCATAAGAAAAAGTAGACGTTATTTTCTAGCAAATGAAAATCACAGAGACAGAATAGAAATTTCAATAGAGATTCGTCTTAAAATATAAAATACAGATTTCAAGAAAAAAGTGACAGGGAACTTTAACAAAACAACTTTTTGTCTGCAGGGGTTTTAAGCTGGATATACAAGTTAGAGCTGTCTCTCATTGCAAAAGGCGACAACTTGCTCGAAACACGTGTCATGATCCAGTTATTCTATAATTTGACGGGTTTCAATCCATTAGTGGAGTTATTTCTTTTCCCAATTTTTAACTCCAAGTTTGGAGTACATTTTTGGCGTGGAGGGGGGGGGGGGGGGAGGTGTTTCGTTACCGAGGGAAAGAGGCTAGTCAATATTTGCCCTTGTCGCCCCCTTCCTTTTTTAATCATTTGGACAGTTTATAGTCACCTAGAAATTGCTTTTGAGTGGCAACATTTTTAAAAATATATGTATATAAAATATTTATCCAAAAAAAAAATCGATTTCGGCGCTTCTCCTTTTATTCTACTGTATTATCCCATTTTAATTTAATCTAGGAATCGGTCATTTTACTTTTTACCAATCAGCCTTGTGCGCTATACCTTTGTCAGTCTTACCGACGCCTTTCCGTTATACACACGTTTATCACTTCATAGGAGATTACTGACAATGTTCCCAGTTGAACTAAAGTACAGTTTATGTTTCCTGTAAACTGTCAGACAGGAAAGGATGACCTCTATAAGGCCTTAACATAGTCAAATGTATTAATCAGAGCAGTGCTAGCTGGCCGCTGAATAGGGAATCGGAGAGGTGTTGAATTAGAAAGTAACTCCCCGTCGAATTTCGATGGTTTGCATATCATTTTTCGCGAGGGAATAACACGATCTCGTATTATTAGCTCTGGGGCTCGTTTCAACACCAAGATATGATTCAACGGCATCCCCTTCCATTTAAAGGTACCACTGAACATTTTCTTTCAAACAAAAAGTAGTCGCAGAGTGTGTAATACATGTATATCATAAATTCTTTAGAAATACACCGTGGAAAGGTTCAAACAATTACATTACGAGTAGGTAAAAGACAAACTTACTACTTTGAAATTGCACCCTCTACAAAAATACACCTCCAAGAAGCTAGTCGTGCACATGAAATAAATACGAGTGTATAAATAAATTAACTCTTTTCATTTCATATTACCTCACCATTTTTGTCTGATTATGTTTTGAAATATTATTTTTTTCATACTTTTTCCCTCCGCAGGGATTTTATTGATTTTCATTTCCAACAATTTAACAAACATATATTCAATGTAATTTGTGATTATAACATGAATAAAATTGACTACTCAAGATACAAATATTTGTTGAACTGTCGAGTTAACAGAAGACATAGATATTCTCAATAATGTATTCCTGATATTCATGAAATAATGCAAAAAAATATGCAGGATAAGTTAAGCATTAATAGGAAGAAGAATGAGATAAGGAAAGAGTGAGAGGTGTGTGGGTGACCATGGGAAAATCTACCTCCACCCAATGTTTCTTATAACACGAATATTCATGAAAAGGCTGTATTTTAAATGTACACAATCCAGTAGACCTACTTTTCTGATTTTGTGCTTCAATGCATCAAATGCTTCGTCCGTTCCACAATCTCTCTCTCTGCTTCTCTCTCTCTCTCTCTCTCTCTCTTTTTCTTTCTCTCTCTCTCTCTCTCTCTGTCTGTCTCCCTGTCTCTCTCTCTCGCTCTGTAATGGTGCAATTCAGGCGTGAAAGTGCTCAAGTGCGCCACTTCAGCCGGAACATTGAATCATTAAAATCATTCTCGTCGCAACAGCAGTAAGAATATTACCATTAATTGCGGTAGCCACATTGTGGATACCATTTATATAAAAAGAACTTGTTATGCAGAAGTTGCAAACTGTACCGTAATTACAAGGTTCATGTTCTTAAAAAAAATATATTTTCAAATCGATGGAGGGGTTACCCCGAGTTCCTTCAAATGATATACTCATGCTATAGCATGATATCTGGTGAGCCTGCATGAAAACGCGCTGCAGTTGACGGAATAGCGCCGCTCACTTTCCAGTGTTGTATTCAACAATCGTTATTATGCCCTCTGCCGTGGACTCAGCCAGACGTATCTAATTGAGCGAGTTCATTGTTGAACTGTATCGCAGTTTACCGTGGCAATTTTTTTTTGGATTGAAATGATGGAAACTGATATAATTATTATACAACCATTTTATTTTCATGCGCTGATGACGGCTGCACTTGTGACAGTTCCTATAGTGGTGCAACATTATAGCTTGTTTCCTTGTGGAATTCTATGAAAGTGGAACAATTTTTGCAGACAAGAAGATGCATCTTTTCGCAATACCTACAATTCGATACACTCACTCTGGAAGAAAAATGTAATACCTTGTATATTTGAAGCTGATGTTTGTTTTTATCTTGATAGAAATCATCTTGTATTAGCAATAGGGAAATGGCTTATTATTGACACACAAGGAAGAGTATAAGATTACGTTTCACCAACTTGTCCTCCTCAAAACTGTTCTATAACGAGAGAATCATTACTGTCATCTACGAGGGTGCATCCCCTAATACTCCTTTTCCCTAGAAATTGAGTATATTTCCTTGTGGAGTGCTGAAATGAGACATGCTTCTTTTGTAATTTTAGAATATTTAAGTGAAACTGAAATGCCAGTTTTCAATAAAAGGCACGTGTTTTTGTGAAATCTATCCATTCTTTTTGAAGATTTACAAACGTCGCACATACCTCGGATCATCATCATCATCGGCGTTGTTCTCCTCTAGAGGTTAAGATGGAGTCGCTCTACACCACTGTCTCTCACAGTAGAGTGGCAGGTGGTAGGCCACCAGGAGAACTATTTGTAAATCTAGGTTACAATACATCGACTACGGCAGGAACAGAACTAGTTCCAGGTCCTGATTGGGACCCAACACCCTCAGGAGGAGTGAGTGGCACCGAGGCGACGACAGATCCAGCTTTTGGTATAGCCTTAGCATGTTTGACGATTCCTGTGGTTCTGGTGGGCAGTCTGGCTAATATCATGGTGCTTTATGTCGTGCTAAGGTAAGCACATATTTTAATCTGTAGCAGGCCTACAAGTGAAGTAGATGATCACGAAGAAACGGAACGAGGCACTTTAAGTCTCGTTTAAACCATTAACGTATCCAGGGGTGTCGAAAGAGCCACCCCTCCCCCTTTTGAAAAAAAAAAATGTTTATGATTATTCAGAGAGAAACAATTCCTGCTTCCCTCCACTACGAACTAGTGAAACCTATCAAAATCATTTTTTTAAGTGCTCATATCCACCATATTTTGGGCAAAGACAACCTTCTCATTGATATAGCCTCTATCACACCCCACACGTTGAGTCAGGGGGGGGGGGGGTTCGTTTGAAAATCGTTTTCCTTTGAAATAACACGCTTGATGTTATCATTTATATTAAGATGTCTCGATGCCCAGTCGGTTTACCTGCGAAAAAAAACCTTTAACGGTTTTCAGGCATCACTCTCTCTCTGTCCATCTCCAATCATTCTCCGCATGCAATGTACATGCTTGATTCATTCATTCATAAGTTTGAGTGAATGCGTGATTGATGATGGTACATCTCCATTGTGGTTAACATGTTCAGGATGTAATATGGAAAATGACACTATTAAAGCCCATCTTATAAATGTTATAAATTCGTAGGTTACCAAATATATTAAAACCGAATATCTACATCGTAAATATAATATTAAACACTGTTAAACTGACCTTGCCGAAATTATTCAAGTTTATTTCAAATATATGTGGATGAAATCAAATAAATAGTTTAATTAAAGGTACATTGTGAGACTGTTCATTAATTTGAAACATGTCACTCACCGTTCCCCAATATCTTTAAAAGGTTATACTCTTCAGTACCGCCTCATACTACTATTTATTTTAAAAGATTCATTACAGTGTGGCAACGAACGTTTTCACTGAACTTTCTTTTAGTAACCAGAGCTGGAAGACATTTTCTAGAAACTAGTTTATGAATACCCATTTTCGGAATTTTTGCTGTCTGAATCTTTAAGTTTCTCCATTTATTCTGTAGCCATCTTAGAATGAACTAAAGCATATGAAACACAGTACATTATGATTGAATAAAGACGCTGCATAGAGAAAGCCTGTATCATTTTACATCTAGAATCCATTATAAGAATATAGGACGCGGAATTGTACCTTCTTGGATAGGGTGCAATTTCACTGCCGACGTTTTAAAGATTCATCTCTGATCTCATCCGATTATAGCGGGGAGAGAGCTTTTGATGACTGCAATCTATAGATTTTTCATGTTTTCACCTTTTCTCTCAAACCCATCGTACACTCTACAATTTGACATCAATCCGATTTTGAAAGCAATTGCAATGGTCAGGGTATGAATGTTTAAAATGTCAAATCTTCCTGGTTGAGATTGTGAATAGTCATGTGAATGCTCAAGTGCAGATTGCGCGTGAGAGGGGGAGGGGGGGGGGGGAGGGCGCTGGTAGAGAGGAGTGGCCTATTAAGTAGGAGAAATTGATCCGAATGCGCCCCAGGTCCAAGCCGATTGGACCTTTCCCCTGAGTAATACTCTAAACAGTCAGTAATTTTCTGTATTTACCATATAAATGATCTTTACCGATAGGACTATCAATAGTAAGGATTTTACTTGTGTATTTCATTTGAGACTTGCAACTGCAATTTCTTTTAAAATCAGATCGCAGTCAAATGCGGTGCGGTATGTTTCACATAACCGCGGGCCTCGATTCTTCTCCATACATTGTATTTATTCCATGAAAATATCATCTAATAATTCATTTCATAATCATATATCTAGTTCATTCGTGAGTGTGTGCGCGTGAGTGTGTGCGTGCGCGCGTGTGTGTGTTTGCGTCAGCATAATGTGAGTTGGGTGCGTATGCAGTGTGTGTGTACATATTTGTTCGAGTGTAATCAGGCTTGGCTTGTTACGGTTTCAATATTGTTTTAACATTTAATATATAGTTCATTGGCAATGATGCCCCCATGGTATGGTCATCAGATCAGATTTCGTATGTGATATCGATGGTAGGCCTGTATCCTGAAATTGAAAACCCGGGCGGTGTGGGGGAGGGGGGGGGGGGTGCTGAACCCATCCTGGACAGGGAGTGGGTTGGAATATATTTGGGACGCTTGCTCATACCTTTAGCATACCTATTTACTCTTATCCCTTTGCTTCCAAATAGAGAGGAAGCTTTAGAGTTGCACCCTCTCAACCAACCGCATGTAAGATTAGTCATTTTAGGATTTTGATGTAGGAAGCTTTACACGAAGATATCGACTTTACTGTACCAATGAATTAGGGCGTTTATATAAAGCTTGCTGTCGTGACTGTGGTACCTAGATAACATGCAGAGTTCAAGTGCCTGAGGCTCTGCTACATACTTGTTCTTTCCTCCTATATTCCCCCCAGCGAAAGTAATATCTGTAAGTGCCCGCTCATTTTGCACTCGACGGGAGCTTTAAACGGTGACATAAGAATGATAGATGCTGTCCCACTTTATGTTTGCTCATTTCCCCTGGATATCGAATGATAAATTAAGCCACGCGCAGGGGAGAAGAAATGCATAATTTATCTCGCACTCCGAACTAGTAAACAAGAGTCATTTGCATAAACAGTTGTTTTGAAGAAACTGCCACAACTTTTGTTTATCATTTAAAGAATCCAGATAGATCTAATCTTTTTATCTTTATTTCATTTTAATTCATAAAATATGATGTCCTTTATTTGTGCATAATATTTACCTGATTGGATTCGTATTCATTATGTCGGTGGGTGTTTCCTATTTTCTCCTGACAAAGGATTTTTTAAAGTTAATTTGTATTTTTCCTGTGACACAGATTTCGGAATTCAGACTGAATCAGGGATGATGAGGGTACTAAAAATAGAATAAATTTCACTTTGCATCTAAAATGTCATAGCAACGGAGAATCTTGACATCAAGACACACCTTAGGAAATAAATTTTACGAGATGGGGGGGGGGGATTAATTGGACCTTGAGGCAACGACATCTACAATTTAAATTGATGGACATGATGGAATTTGATTACTTTAATTGAATTCTGTCAATGGGAAGATTTAAAGAAAAACGTCTCATAGTGGATTTTAATTTCGGGGGAAAAAGGCAGGACTTTCTCATTTGAAATTGTGAACATGACACTAGTACGCTTTTGGTAATTATAGAAATAGTTATATACATGTATGCAGATTGTACCAAAATGCAAGAATTTTTTTCTTTCTATTCTTCTGTTTTTTCCTCACAATTCTCATAACACTTGCTGCCATTTCTTTCTAAATATATAATCAAAATGCATATGAAATAAACAAGCAAGTCTGTCAATGGACATTTTCTTCAGGTTCGGCCCATTACAGCTCTCATTTATTTCTTGTTCAATGTGCATACCTTGAAGGGTGGCATGATTTCCCCTTCAGCCCCATCCTCTCCCTCAAGACGGAATTTCAATTTTGTCCTCTCTCTTTGCTGTGATTGATTTTTCTTATTTTTTGTATTCTTCCTCGGCAATTTTACCGTGATTGTTGTGGATATAGGCAGGTAAGATGTGAACAATTATTGATTGGGAATACCATACCTGTCTAGCAACTACTAGCTAAATGCAAATATTAGTTGTTTATTGTGATGCTTATAGTTGTCGATGTCATGCTTTTAGCATATGAGATGCGAGTATTAACATTTCTACCCCTGTATATGATTTTTATTAAACTTTTCATTGCAGCTTCAAGGCGCATTCGATTAAAAAAAAAACAGGCATATATTTGATAATTATGCTCATAAAATAGTACCTTTGAGTGTCCAAAGCAGAATTGATGTACTAGAAATACTTGCCCTATCCAGTCTTCCTTTATCCGTAACAAATATCTCATTCCAGTGACCCTGTGGAAGCCTCAAGCACAATTATCAGTTTCATATTACCTTTAATACTATATCAGCTGACAGATCACCCGCAGATCTTTTTTATTCATTTTTTAAGACCTTTTCTCTTCTCATCCTTTCTTTCGTCTTTTATTGCATGAATGAAATGTACAACCGCGAAACATGATCATGTAACCTCAAGTTATGGAAGCAAGGACAGGCTATAGCGCTTTACTACTGGGAGGGTGGGGGTAGTAAATGTCCTTACGATTTTTGAGAAGCTGGTGAAACGACCAATGTCCTAGATGTAATGCTGCCTCTAGAAGAAAGACAGGCATAGTAATCTTCAAAGATAAAAAGTTTCATGGTCTAAATGCAACTGTGTGTCATTGTAATCTCTCAAATTCACCATACACGTCATTGAACCACATAAATATTAATGTTTGTGATATTTGTAGAAGAAATTAGAGCGTAGGAAATTGGAAACCGTCAACTACGTGTAAACTAAATCATCATAACGGAATGATGAGCTTTAAAATACGAAGAAGGCATAGCAAGTTTAACTTTGATCTCGATTGGAACATGGTTGTCCAAGCAAGATTGAAAACCGGCCGGACCTTGGTGACCACTTAGGTTATAAATTTTAAAGACAATTACGAATTCTGTCGTATGGTTCACTGAATTAGCCGCCTGCGCACATCTGTGTCACCATAGAAACAACACCCCTCACACTTCTTTATACCAGTCCCACTCTGCCTACCCTTCTTCATCTCCATCTCCATCTATCACTTTATGTGTCCCCTTTCTCTTCATTTTCCTCTCTGATTTCGTTTACCCCCCCCCTCTCTCTCTCTCCCTCTCTCTCTCCCTCTCTTTCTCTCCCTCCCAATCCCCCTCTTTTCCCCCTTTATCCCACCCTCTCTCCCCCTCTCTCTCTCTCTCTCTCTCTCCCTCTCTCTCTCTCTCTCCCTCTCTTTCTCTCCCTCCCAATCCCCCTCTTTTCCCCCTTTATCCCACCCTCTCTCCCCTCTCTCTCTCTCTCTCTCTCTCTCCCTCTCTCTCTCTTTCTCCCTCTCTTTCTCTCCCTCCCAATCCCCCTCTTTCCCCCTTTATCCCACACTCTCTCCCTTTCTATCTCAATCTCC